AAATTGGTAGGTCCTGGACAAAGGACATTCTATAAATGTGCGATTGCAGGAATTGTATATATATATACTTAGAACAAAAAGTTAAGCGCCATCAGATATTGAACCATTGTTTCGCAAATGAATGCAATTCACAATCATGCTTGATAACAGGCATGTATATATTGGGACCTAATGTTGAAAACAATATTTATTCGTGAAAAAACAGGAAGTGGATGATCGTACATTATATTGTTTTTATAGCCCCAAATGCAAAGTATTTGTTTTTCATCAGTCTTTGAATGTCCTGCTGAGAAATTTGCTGCCACTCATGATGCAGTGCTGCATCCAACTCTGTTAAAGTTTGCACAGGAGGGTCTCTACCACGTGCGCGACGTCCCAGAATATACTGAATTAAAGTTAGTGGCGCTTAACTTTTTGTTCTACGTATATTATGCAGATAGATTTGGTTGAATGCCATCATTTCGAAAGGGATCTGAAAGAGATCTGAAAGAGATCTGAAGACTGATCAATATCAGAATGGCTTAAACAATAATCACTTTAGTATGAACGGAAGCTCATGCCTAGTTTTATTTTATGCTGATGATTTCCACCAACCAGCTGCAAAGCCGAAAAAGCAGATGTAAATTGGTAAAGACTTAAACTGGAACCGTCTAAAACGACCTTGAACTAAATCTTTAATGCATAACAACATATTTTATATTTATTGAACTTTGAAATTAGTGCAGAGGCATATCAAACTCATTTAACCATTGTGTATTTATGATACGAGCAGTTACTTTAATATGTTGTTATTTTTTAAATGGAACCACATGGAATTTCACCTACATGACTTCCTGCTAAATCGAAGCTATCCTTCTTTTGGAAAGTGCTGGAGCGAAGGGGACGTTCTCATGCTCGAAGAAATCACCCAGATCACTTTCCCTTGTTAGGCTTGTAATAAAGTATAAAGTATTGAAAAGAGCTGTGGATCTAGCTATAACTTCTTCTTGCTAGTTGCAATGGTTGAGCTTTGCAAAGATGTGGAACTGCTCTTTGCCCATCTTAAGGATATTTTTCAGTCACATGAACATTCGACATGAACCAATGCATTCTACGACCCTGAATTAATGTACCATTAGATAAGAAAGGTGGAATTTCAAGTGTCTCCATATCCAAAAATGTTCGCAACATATGAAAGTAAGCGTATGCCAAATTTGGTGCTTGTGCACAATTCATTCATATCTGAAGCAATGCACTAAATGAGAAATCGTCACTGGTACTAAGCAGCCTGTTGTACCAAAACATTTCTGGGTTTGAGCAGCCAAATAAACATTATTGAAGAAAGGCGTCAGTCCATGTTCAATTGTATGGGTAGAAACTTTTCTTGAACACATATTTGCCAATGTGTTCGCCTGTTGTTCTTTAACTGTGTCAGCAGATGTTTAATAATCTTAGCTCGGACAGTGTTTTTTGGATGCTTTCAGGCACAGACTCAGTCTGTTTTCCTATATTTCCCAATTCCAATGCCGTATTACATGTCGTTTTGTTCATATCTGAGTCAAAAGAATTTTTAGATTAAAACCGGTTACTGTACTTCAAGGGAGACAATAGGACAAACTAAAATGTTAATAAATTCTAGAACAATCAATTTCCATCATTAATGCAGAAATTAGCGCTGTATTTTGATCTCTTTATAATGTGAACGAATCGAATCTAGTGATTTAAAGTTCGTGTAGGATATCAAACATGAACTTAATTTATTTATCTGTAGTTACAAGTCTACAATAATTTTCCTTTTAAAACAAAGTCGAGAATAATGTCCTATGAAGTGTCATAAAATGAAAACAAAAATACACTTACTTTGGTAATTAGTACTATAATATACATAATTACAGACTTGAATGTAGGCTAGGTTACACTTCAAACAAAACAAATTCATTTAGAAACATCTACCTCGTTTAAAATCTTGATTATAAAACTATTGATTTAAAGTCACTCCATTTTCCAGGAAATTAAAAGCATACAAGTACCTTTGTTATAGAAATATCGAAAATACCATCTCATTGATATTGAATTTAACAACAATGAATAAATGGATGACAAACCGATTATGAAATAAAATGTAAACGAAGTAAACGAACTCCCTTTCCCTGTGAAACAATATCTGAACAGTGTTAGGGTGTATACATAATATATTGGTAGTGTTAGGGTGTATTGAGACGAGTCTAAATGAAAGCACTGGCCTAGGTCACAGAGCAATAGATAAGTCTATTAATTATGTGAAAATTAGTTAGTCATTAGCATGATTTTAGTTGAAAAGACACACACACAAACATACACTGCATGTTATAATATTATACTGTATATAGCCATGGCACCAGTCCTGAAATAAGTATTCCCTAAAATCTAACTTAGAAATCGATTAATTTATTGATATAACATGATACATTTATAATAAGAAATCTATGCTCCTAGGATGAATGGACATTGCTGCATGTTATAATATTATACTGTATATAGCCATGGCACCAGTCCTGAAATAAGTATTCCTTGAAATCTAACTTAGAAATCGATTAATTTATTAATAGAACATGATACATTTATAATAAGAAATCTATGCTCCTAGAATGAATGGACATTGCTGCATGTTATATAATATACTGTATATAGCCATGGCACCAGTCCTGAAATAAGTATTCCTTGAAATCTAACTTAGAAATCGATTAATTTATTAATAGAACATGATACATTTATAATAAGAAATCTATGCTCCTAGGATGAATGGACATTGCTGCATGTTATAATATTATACTGTATATAGCCATGGCACCAGTCCTGAAATAAGTATTCCCTGAAATCTAACTTAGAAATCGATTAATTTATTGATATAACATGATACATTTATAATAAGAAATCTATGCTCCTAGGATGAATGGACATTGTTCAATGGTTCAAGTCTACCGTGAAAGAGGAAATTGCTAAGATTTTGATTTCTTTTGTAAGCTACAACCAAACGTTTTGTGTATACATGGGGAAATTTGTTCTGAAGTTCCGAGTAATGGCGTTTGACCATTATGGTAGCTGTAGAATCAAATGTCGTTATAAAGGGTATTATCTGGTTATCATGTTGAATGTTGAGTCCATTTGGTCTCACAGTCTGCAGTTGATCGATCCAATAACTTTCGCGTTGTAGACGTCTAAGCTAAGGTTTCATGCTAGGTGATGTAGAAACTGTTTCTATAGGCATGATGAGAAGGTCATCAATGGAATGATCGGGAAGGTTGAAGTGATTCGCAATTGGTCTATCCTTGCCATGCACTATATCATAGCGATGGCCATTGAATCGCGTTCGAAGCGCATTTTGAGTCTCGGCAACATATTGTACATCGCATTTTTTACAAGAAATTAGGTATATGATATTTTGTGTTATTGTAAAAAAAAGTATGGAGTGGCTAAACATTTAGTATTAAGTAATAATCATTTTGATATTCGTTGTGTTCAATTAATTGTTTTCAATGACCTACACTAAAAATTAAAAAAAATAATTGAACACAAGGAATATTACATACAATACATAATTTACAAATATCTAAACATTTTTACAACATAAAATCACAAATCTTGTTTACAATAGTTCATCTATAATAGAAATGCAATGCTTTGTTGAAAAGAAAACTGGGATAACGTAATTACTTATATACAAAATTTTTTAAAGGTCTAACAGTGTGTTATATAAGGCTTTTGGGTAGTATTAGCCCACCCCTTTCCTTATAACCGTTTCAGATTTCGATCTCGAGGCGAACCTAACCCCTTAAAAGAACAATATAGATAAGATAAAGAATTTAAAGGAGTATTCTGCTCTGTTTCATTATCAAAAACATCGAAAATTATACCTGCAAATATTTTTAAAGTATGATATTTATATCTATGTATTCACTTGATCGAACTGAATTTGTTTTAAAGGGATTAATTAAAAACTGAGACTATTAATTGTTAATTAAGTAATTTGATCTAGTTTCGGCTTTATAATACCTCGTTATATTTAGTTGAAATCTTTAAAAAACGTAACAGACATATTTCTCTACAAAGAGGCGTTTATTTTCAAATCCGTATATAAGTAGTTTTCTAACAACTTAACGAACTTTAAAAGGTTACGTAACCTTTTACGTAGTTTTAGAGTTAAAAAAAGTTAATGGCTGGAATTTTTTTAGTTAAAACTTTCAGATACGTTCTATAGATTTTGGTTTATAGTTTTCACAAATTTGAACAAATTTTTTTTTAAGACCTATACACAAAAGCGGAATGTCCCTTTAAAGATGATATGCTTAAATGGTAAGTGCATTATATTATGCCATAAGATCATAATTATGACCGAATTGTGCGCAAATGTACATGTATGTTTTCTATCTCCGCTTTAACCAGAATATAGTCAGGTACCAAAATAATGATTTTAATCTCAATACAGCTGTATAAAAAAAAATGATTTTGTTGAAGATCGATGTTGATTCTATATTAATTACCCTAATGTTCCGTCCACTTTCATTTCATTAGTATATTCTCCTCTGTTCTCAATGTATTTTATCGATTATCATATCGATATTTCAGGTAATTTCCAGTTTTGTTTTAATTGTGTAGGTTTAAAAACGTTCGTTAATAATTCAAATATGAAATATATCAAATATTTGTTAAGATGATGTTGTAGTGAAACATCCGGTTGGGAAACGTATCCAATAGCCTAATATGTTGACAGCACATACGCATAAAAATCATAAAGCTAAACTAGTGTGGACTAAATTCCTAGCGCGAATAGGTATGACGAGAATTTGTAGGCCTAGTTTGTGCATCTAGTTTTTTCTGATACTGATTGTACACCTGGCATCACCATCGTGCTGTTACCGAGTTTAGAGCTGACAACTCTAGGTTGCTGATACCGAGTATAGACCTGACATTTCTCGCGTCCTGATACCGATTATAGCCCTGACATCTCTAGCATGCTGATACCGATTGTAGACCTGACATCTCTAGCATGCTGTTACCGATTGTAGACCTGACATCTCTATTGTGCTGTAGCGTGCTGATACCGAATGTAGACTTGACATCAGACACATCTCTAGCGTACTGATACCGATTGTAGATTGTAGACCTGACATCTCTAGCATGCTGTTACCGATTGTAGACCTGGCATCTCTATTGTGCTGTAGCGTGCTGATACCGAATGTAGACTTGACATCAGACACATCTCTAGCGTACTGATACCGATTGTAGATTGTAGACCTGACATCTCTAGCGTGCTGATACCGATTGTGGACCTGACATCTCATCTCTATCGTGCTGATACTGAGTGTAGACCTGACAACTCTAACATGCTGATACCGATAGTGAAATCTAGTTCTCTCTAATGCCAATTGTAGAACTGAAATATCTGGCATGTTGATGATTTTTTTTTTCGTTTTGCGGTTCGGATCGTTAGTACTTGGTTTATTGACCCTCCATGGTGCGAGACCGATCAGGGAGACTGATGCTGATGACATATGAGCGGCAGATTCACTGGTCACTACGATGAACTAATTGACGCATTCAAGCATTGACCTCGAGAATAACCCGGTTACACCGTCTTGGTCGCCGTCAAACGCGAAGAAAACGTTAGAAAAAGTCCCGTAATATTGAAAACTTTACATCAGTCGCTATCAACCTGCGACATATGCGAAGGTATTGCGTTCCAAGGGAGCACTTCTAATACAATCTATTGGCTTGGTGTACTTCATTTTTATTGCGTTGATGGAGATGTTATGACGCTTGTCTAAAGACATTCTGGATTCTGTGGCGATCTCAAAGGCGACCATGGCGCCAACCTTTTATGCTCCTTGACGCTCCCTCTACGCTTATACCACGCTTGGGGACGCCTTTCCGGTGTGACGGGGATAGAACTGTCAAAAGCACTTATTCAAACACTGAACTGTGCGATATTCTGATTCAACACTCCTATTAAGAAATAATTTATCTTATCTACCAAAAGTAGTATAAGTTAAAAGTTCTTTTTCGAGTTTTGTATCATTTACTAACGTGTATTTAATTGTTTTAGTTATATCGGATTGTACAAAAGACGAAGATTTATAGGGGCCCCAAAATGACTTCTGCCCCTCCAGCCAATTTGAAGCTACCACGCTACAGTACATAATGCTCATCTCATATCTCATAACAAAATTCTATCTTGTTCAAGTTCAATTTAGGCTAAGTCGAAAGCAACAACTCATAAATGTCCATCGAATCGAAATTGTCCGAATACGAATATGGGTTACGCCTAAACGGTATACCTATTTAAAGTCATGAAGTCCGAGAGGATATTCGCTATTGAGAAGTCGGTTGTTGATGCTGGCTTACCCCCTTGTTCAGTTCTATGTAAAGATTTAGTTTGTGCTTAAAGATGTAGTTTTAATCAACTATGCCTTTTCACGGCATAATAAACACAACAGAATCAAAATCTCAACAAAACTGACGCCTCTATCGCATGTACAAGTCAACTCGGATGCTGGGCAAGGACGATCACCAAAAACCGTTCATAAAATATTCGAGAACGAGATGTATATTATAGATAAACATACCAAGAAATATGCTTTAAACAGTGTCTTTCGCGTCCACAAACAAATTATGGCGTATATTGACTATGCCAAACGCAATGTATTGCCACGCTTATAGAACATAAGGTTTTTTCCTACATACATGGAATACATGCGCACAGCAAGTCAGAATGCGATTAAAAGTAAACTTGGACGGAGGGTGACGACAATCGCTTGTGAGATATTTTGAATTGGATTCATTCTGCCCTCTGTGAAACCCCAGCTGCGTCTGGTTGACGTTTCGTTGGAAGCGAATAATCACATCTATTGTATATTCAATAGATGAATTTATTGCTGAGAGATACCTTGCTTTATTTACTTCAAAAAACATACTCATCATTAACTAGATTATATTACATTCTAACACAGCTACTTTAAGCAAATCATAATACAATACATCATCACTTTAAATAGATTAGATTAGATTAGACTAGATTATCCAGATTAAAGATGCACAGTCAGTTGGTTTCTCCTTTTAAGCCTAGTTAAATCTCTAACAGGGGGCAGCTTAGAGCCTATAACTTCCTCTTTGAGAAATCAGCCATCAGAGAGGTTGGTTAGATTTCTTGTTGCAAAGAAATTTGAAAAATTCAACACTTTAATTGTCAATCCAACCAAAATAAAATTTGTTTAAGCTTCCTTCAGCATTTATTTTCAAAGTAATTTGGATAGATAAGGAAATAAGAAGTGGATGGCATAGATTTTATCAGAATTTAATTATTGATTAGGACCCATGCTCTTTCAAAGAATTGGGGTCTCACGGCTTTAAAATTCAAAAGTTTGTCACTTTAAGCCTAAGTCTAGTTTTTTCAATACTGTTAAAAACTTCAAAACTAAATAAATTATTTTGAAACTAAAAATCTAAGTCGATTTTGAGAGCCAAATATAGTCTAAGATAAAAAAAATCTGTATTTAATTTTCTATTTTCCTAACTGTCACTACTGAGCATGGGAAAAGGAAGGTCCAAGAAAGTACCAAATGCTAAGAGTACCAGATCATCTACTCGTACCAGTTCTAGTCCATATGCTAGACCTAGACCCAGAAATGCCACAAAGAATATTCAAGATGATAATGGTGCCGAGGTGACAAGGCCTACTACAAGTACTGTTGTTAATGGAAATGATAATGTTAGTTATGTAGATACAGACACAGCAAATAATGTCAATGATGAAACACCAATTTTACCCTTGGGGGCTCCAGGTAATGTGTTTAATGCTTCTAATATTGAGGGGCCTGTAAACTTTGATTGTGGGCTTACTCCTTTAATTGCTGCTGACGATAGTCAGCAGAATAGTGGAACTGTCATTTCCACTGTTATTAACACACCAGATCCTGTTGAGAGTACACATAGTATTCTTGGATACAATGTACCCCTATCAACAAGGCAAAAGATATGTCAGGGTGAATATGTGGATTTAGCTCTTATGCTAAGGACCACAACTAAGGAGCCTGAAAGACTCCTATCCATAAGTCACACTGGGGAGCTCATTTCTAAAGAGAAGATATCATCTAAGATATTAGATATAGAAAAGTGGACGGATGCATTTATCATATTTATGAGTATATACATTTCTGCACATCCTTGTAAATCTCAAGATCTTCTCAAATATATGAGATCTGTGCGCTTAGGGGCCTCTAGATCCAAGGGTATGGGATGGAAATCATATGACGAACAATTTAGATTAAGAAAAGCCGCTGACCCTACTAGCTCATGGGGTAATGTTGATTATGAGCTTTGGCTAATATATATGGCTAATAATACCAATAATCCAAAATTTCAAACTGCAAATAAATTTCATTCAGGTTTTTCTACAACTGGAAAATGTTTTGAATATAATAATAAAGGATCATGTTTTATCACAAACTGTCAATACACACATACCTGCATACGATGTAACTCTGATCATCCAAAAACATATTGTAATAACAATGGTTCAATAAATAAATAAACTTCAAGAAAATGAATTCCAATTTCAGATATTCATCCCCTAACAACAGACAACACAACTCCCAATACAGAAATCAAGCAAATTCAGGATCACATAACTACAAGCACACTAATCAGCGACATATGGGACCTGGGCACTTCCCCCATTAAAACTGATATATTATTAAAATACCTAGATTCATATCCTAATATAAAGTCAGCAATTGAATTAAAATATGGGTTTTCACATGGGTTTAAACTACAATATTCTGGTCCGAGGCTAAAATCTGAATGTCATAATTTATTATCTGCAATACAGCATCAAACTGAAATGAGGGTTAAATTGGAAAAAGAAATGAAATTGGGCAGGATAATTGGACTTTTTGATAACCCACCCATTTCCAATTTGCACATTTCCCCTGTAGGGCTTGTCAAAAAATCAGATGGGGAGTGGAGGATGATCACTCACTTATCTTACCCGGAAAATAATGGTATTAATCATTTTATTGACCCAAACTTGTGTTCAGTGTCATATACGTCCTTTGATGATGTAATTGAAAGAGTTTCGCTGTTAGGCCAAGATGCCTATTTAGGAAAAATGGATATTAAGTCAGCTTTTCGGCTTTTAAGGGTATTCCCTGGAGATTTTGATCTTTTGGGTTTCAAATTCATGGACAAATACTATGTAGATAAATGTCTTCCAATGGGCTGTTCAATTTCATGTTGTATTTTCGAAACTTTCTCAACATTTCTAAATTGGCTTATAATTTCAAAATCAAAACAAACTGGAGTCGACCACTATTTGGATGATTTTATTTTTTTCTACAAGTGTCAGTATAAATGTAAGGCATTGATGGATGTCTTCCAATCTATGTGTAATGAAATAGGAATACCTTTATCTGAAGAAAAGACGGAAGGGCCAACAAAAAAGTTAGTTTTCTTGGGATTGGGTATCGACACATCCAAAATGCAAGTTTGCATTCCTGAAGAAAAAATTATTCAGCTGAAATTTAAAATTGACTATTTCCTAATACGAAAAAAAGTAAAACTAAATGAGCTCCAATCACTTGTGGGAATGTTAAATTTTTTTGGCAAGGCAATAAGATCTGCCAGAGCATTCAATAGAAGATTCTATGACGCTATGTCTGGGGTAAAAAAATTTTTTATTAGAATCAGTAACGAAATGAGAGAAGATTTAAATATGTGGGCATTATTTTTATCGAACTTTAATGGGGTGAGATATTTTCCAGAAAGAGAGTGGGTATCATCAAATATTCTTCATCTATATACAGACAGTGCAGGTTCTCAAGAGTTGGGAGCTGCTGCCTATTTAAACTCACAATGGGTGTTTTTTGAATGGCCCTCACACTGGAAGTCTCCTGATATTATGAGAGACATTACATTTTTAGAATTAGTGCCCATTGTTTTGGCTGTTGCAATTTGGGGTGACCAATTAGCTAACAAAAAAGTAAAGTTTCACACAGATAACTTAGCACTTGTATCAATCATTAATACACAAACATCCAAATTTAAACGAGTTATGAAACTAGTCCGTCCATTGGTCCTTCACATGTTAGAATATAACATCACATTTAAAAGTGTTCATATTAAAGGTACTGATAATAAAATTGCTGATTATATTTCCCGAAAGGAATGGTCCAAATTTCGAGAAGTAGTTCCAACTGCGGACAACAAACCACAACCAATACCAGAAGCTATGTTTCAAATGATGTCTAATCTGAAGTTACAAGACAATTGAGTTTAAGTCTTGCACAAAATACAAAAACAACATACAATACAGGACTAACTGTTTTTGAGAATTTTCGTTCACAATTCAATTTGCCTCAAATTTGGCCACCAAGTTTAGATCATATCATAAATTTTATTGGTCATCTGTCAATTAAACAACTTAAATATTCAACTACAATTTCCAGCATCGCTTTTAAATGCAAAATTATAAATGTTGAAAATACGACTGACAATTTTCTTGTTGCAAAGCTACTGACAGGAATGAGACGAGTCAAGAATGGAAGAGATAGTAGACTTCCAATAACTTTGCCATTATTAAACAGAATCATAAATATCCTGCCTATTACTTGTGCAAACAAATATGAAACAGAACTTTTCCAGGCTGCATATATACTAGCATTCTTTGGGTTTTTTAGGGTAGGTGAATTGGTGTTGTCAAGGGGTAATGTTTTGGAATTCATTGTTTCTGTAGATGATGTCCTGTTATCACAGAATACTTTGGAAATCCAGTTACGGCATTTCAAGACTGATCAATTTAACAAAGGTTCTATAATATCTATTCCTAAATGTAATGGACCAATTTGCCCTTTAAATTTTGTTGGGAAATTTATTAAGTCACGACCTAACATTAAAGGGCCATTATTATGCCATTGTAATGGTCAGCCTCTAACAAGATATCAGTTTAGTTCAATTCTGAACAAATGCCTACAATTATTAGGCATACCAAGTCACAACTATAAATCACATTCCTTCCGAATTGGAGCTGCAACAACAGCCTCTATGACAGGACATAACCAGAATGTCATTCAAACTGCAGGCAGATGGAAATCTCTAGCCTACAAATCATATGTACGCATCCCTAATATGAGTTACTAATCTTTTTCTTATTACATACATTTCAGGTAAGGCTCCTATCAGAGTGTGGTGTGTTGGGTCCTCTATAGTTAAATGGGCCGCTACTCATGCCCACACTCGTCCAGGAGGACTAGACCTGGGTTTACATAATAGGCATAATATATCCATTTGGTGGCAAGGGTATGGAGGTCTTAGATTCCTGGACCTAAACCGTAAGCTATGTTTCTTATCCCACATTGAAGAGAAACCACCAAATATTTTCATACTTCATTGTGGCGGTAATGACATTGAACACATTAAACTTGATCAGTTTAGAGACTTTATTAAAACCACACTAAAATTCTTATATAACAAGTACTAGTTTAAATAATTATGCTACTGCACGCATTTTGGAAATGGGGGGTGCTTTGATAAGATATCCAGACATAAAATTTGGTAACAAGAACTTGTACAGACATGATCAATTACACCTCTCAGAGATAGGAAACAATATATTCCTCAACACAATACAGGGGGCCCTAGAGTTCTTTCATTTAGGTCAAAGGAAGGTTTATCCCCCATAATTTCTACTTAACTTTCTCTCATTTTGAACTGGGTGATATGGCCAACTGATGAGAAGTGTTGTATATACCGCTCACAGACGGGCTTTTGTTGTGGCGGTGATGACAATACTGCAAGTTTGCAGCTTTTGCCATCATATGGCATTTAGAACAACACTTCTAATCTCAGTTGATTATAAAATCGGATTTGGAGTGCTGCTGGAGCTCAGACCCAAGTCCAATGCTTGTTGAGCCCTGTACACTCAGGGTCAAGCATGTATATATGTTTATAGTTTTAAATATTTGGATGGTTTATGGTTTTAAAATATTTGGATGATTTAAAAATATTTGGATGGTTTTATGGTTTTAAAAAAATATTTGGATGGTTTCATGGTTTTAAATTAAAATATGGATTCAGTAAAAGAACTGGCTTTAATACTATATTATGATCAATCAATAATTTTGGTGTATATCATTATCTATATTATATTGGTAACTGGGTGGTTTGCCATTTTTCATGTCGGCAGCCAAAATCAAAAATGAATTTTATATATATATTTTTAATCAGCTGTGCCATATCACTGCCAATAAAGTTTACCTAGACATCTGTATTTTAGTCTTATCTTTTCTGCAATAACCGTTTAATTGTTGCAAAAGAGTGAACGTCATTTCGACCTGTCTTTCAGAGTACGAAGTCGGTTTTATGTCCTGTTCGCCTTGTGCTGTATCAATCAAGCGTATCCTACTTTAAAGTCATAATCATTCTATAACGTGTTTTCGTTATGTGTTGATTGGCCGGTTTGAAAATAAAATATTTATTCCCTCGGTTCCACATGCAAGATTGACCGTTTACATTGAAATATGATATAAGGTTTAAATTTTTAATATTTTTCTATATGTTGGAGCGCCAGTCAGTAATCAGGCACACTTAAAGGGAAAACTCTTCAATCAATGATGTTAGATATTGTATTGTAAAGATGGCGGTTTTACAGTATGACAATAATAATACGAATGAATTTACATGCACGTGCAGGGGGAGGTAATTCAACAAGTACAGTTCGTACACATAAGAATAGTTCAGGCTAGTCTAATACGTAACTACCATGAAATGGCGAGGCCTCTTTATCTTTAAAATCACTACTAGTCTGAATATTCACAAATAAGGTAATCATTCACAATTATAGTCTTGTAAGTAGCTTGGTTTCTTGTGTACACGGCGTGGACGTTGTGGCGCAGGATCGACTGTTGTAACGGGACTGTTGATTGGTAAGTCTGCAGGAACAGCAGGATCTGGATTATAGTTGATACTTTGCATGTTGTTTTCCGATGGTGGCTCTGCAATGACATCAGGAATCTGGGGTGAGTGTGGAGTTGGGACACATAATGACTCATCAGGTGGAGACGATAGGGGAATAGTACAAACTTCGTCGTCGCTTAACGAGTCCTCTTGTGGATTGATAGTCATATCAGAGTAAAAGTTCGTTATCGGAATACACTCAGAGAGTTTCACTTTATAAGGCAAAGACCGGAGTTGGTTTCCGGTAAACTTTCGGACAAAACACCATCCCTTATCAATGTTTGTTACGAGATATCGACTTCTACCACGAGTTTTGTCCCTATCGGTGGTTAAATAAACAAGATCGCCAACTGATGGAGATGGTTTTGATAGATGAGACTGTCGACTTGGGGTCTTGACTTGGGTCTTGGATGACTGACTCTAAGGATGGTTCCTAAGACGAGATTCATACTGTTGTAGAATCAGATCACGGTCACAAATTGGTAACTGGGTGTTATCAAACTGGCAGCGCTGAGTCCATATCTCGCGAGAAGAAAGGCCTCTATTTCGGAGACGTGAATTTAAATTGGACGCAACGATGGATAAGCCAAGAGGTGTGACCGATCCTCCTTCTGGTTGATATCGTACAATTTCATCTATCAATTCAGCAATAGCTTTCTCTGCGACCGGATTCTTATTAGGATTCTTTATTCGACCCATGTCTAAAGTAATTCCGAGTTGAAGCAAAGCAGAATCTTCACGAAGAGCTACGAAACCAGGCGCTGAATCCACACGAACAACTACCGGAGGACCAGTAATTGGGCGCATTTCAAGACAAAGTCGAGCCAGAGCATTACGCAACGTAGTAGAACGCTCATCGTCTATGAGACAACATACAGTCTGTTTCACGTAGAAGGAAAATGAGTTGCTTGCAACCTTTCAATACATCAGCAGCAAATGAGATCCCAATAGATTGTGGTGAAGGTTGTGTGGACTGTTCAGCTACTGGCTGTGGAAGTTTCTTAAGTGACGAACACACATGGCAGTTATCAGTTATGTCACTTATAGATTTTTCGAGATCCAGGGCGTAGAAACGGCGTTTCTCAACGAGTTTTAATTGATGCTTTGAAAGGTGATTACACTTGATATGCATTGCTGTTAAAAGTCCACTTAAGGAACTACAATTAACTCAGATGTAGGGCAAAATGGTTCAAAGTTTTTCACAACGAGGAGACCATCTCTGGATATGGTGACACTACGAAGATATTGTTTGACATCGGGAATATTAGTCAACTTCTTAGATGGTCGTGTTCCCTGTTTAAGGTGGGCGTGTGTACGACGCAGATCTGGGCATTCGGATTGAGTTTGGATCCATGCTGAACGGCTTGTAAACGGAACAGGACAGGTGCCAGAGATAATATCCTGTACGGTGGTAGAACGTACAACGGAATCTTCTGTGCGGGATATAAAATTGCAAATTTGACAATTAGGTTCGTGACATTCTGTGGCATTACGACTGGCAAAATCTGAAGGAATATTGGATGTTTCGGCTAGGTGAAGAAGGTTGACTTGGTAGCGGCTTGCGATGGACAAAAAGGATGTGACTCTGGGGCTAATGGAAAATTCACCACGGCATAATTTTAGAACAGCTTGGACACAAGGCTTACTGTCAGTTAAAACATTCGTCATGTGGTGAGACTGGATTATATAAGGACTGAAGTGCTTAATAGCTGCAGTAATACACAAGGCTTCAATCTCGCATGGTAACCAAGTAATTTGATGTTTTTTCAACTTAGCACTAAAAAACCCAGCTAAGGAGGTTTTGTTGTTGCGTGTTAGGTAGAGGGTGGCTTCAAGTCCTCGCTTACTGACAGAACCGTCAGTTACGATCCATAGTTGATCCGTTGGACGGGGTAACAAGATGCTTTTATGGTCTGTAAGTGACTGTTGGGCTGCTGAGAAATGATGATGTAAGTCTTCTGATCAGCTGATTTTGTCGCTAGATGTTAGACATGCGATGGCGTCGTCCAAGGGTCTAATGAGTGAGGAACAGTTAGGTAAGACTCTGCCAAGTACTTTGTAGGCGCCAATGAAGGAGCGCATTCCTCGAACGTTTTCGGGTGGAGGCGACGTCGATAAGGTAGATATGCGATGAGGGCTTGCAGAAATTGATCCTTGTGACCAAATCCAGCCTAGGATGGTGGTTGACTTGGGGCAAATAATTGTCTTAGAGGCTGCTAATTTGAGATCACACTTGCTGAGTGCTTGTATAGTTAGACGAAAGTTTTCTAATAGTTCGATGGTACGTAGGATGGAATCAACATCTGGCATGAGTAATGGTTGGGGCTTGCTGTATCTTGCTACGTCTGCGAAGGCGGTGACTAGTCTAAATCCACAAGAGCTCTTCTTGACCAGAAATGAAGGGTTAAGGTACTCGACTGTAAGGTTCAAATCCTCGGGTTTACGGAATACTCCTACCGATTCCAATTGGTCGAAAATATCTTGTAACTCTTGTAGTTTATCTTTTGAGTACTGGGGGATTCTACCTTTTCGTTGAGGGGGTTCCACAGATCCCTTATTGACGATGGCTTGAAAGGGACCAACGGATCCATTATAGCCTGTTATTGTAGGATCAAAAACAGAATCGAACTCTTGCATGACCGATTGGAAATCTCTACGAACAGACTGTGGTAAAATATAATCTGGATCTAATTTGACTATATCAGAGAAAAAGGTAGTGTCTTTCAAAACTGCAGACAGGACTGGTTTGGCCGGTGGGTAAGCAAGATTATCTGTATCTGTGATAGTTTGGACACGTCTTACTTGACAGAAGTGCTCATGGCGTTTGAGAGTTTGTGGTTGATCGGTATCATTAGCAATGCGAATTTTTCCTCCAACTTGTTCGGTAAGGCTGGGTTGTGGCCAAATTTTGGTTGACATTTTCGGCGCACCAGTATCGTAACGGGCCTCTAAAGCTAAGATCTCTTCAGAGTGAAGTTCACCTGGTAGTGTTAGTTCTAAATAATCCCCTGGCCAAACAGTGGTAGAGAACGAAGGTGCACGTAACACATAGGCTTGGGTGCGCCTAACAGCTGAAGAATGTGTGGTAGTTGATGAAGAATCGTATTGGATGACATCGTTGTCCTTGATGATGACTTGACACATGGCAGGTCTAACGGATATGTCATGTTGGGTCATAAAAGGTGTTCCTGCTAGTACGTCTACATCAAGATCTTCAACAACCAAAGCATCGAGGGTCAAATTGTGGTCGCCACGATTCAGCTGTAAATGAACTTCGCCCACAACCTTCAATGGGGTGATACCGTCTGCCTGTAAAGCTCGTTGAATACTCTTCTGTATTGGGGCACCTACGTAATGTACGACGGAAGCTTTCATCATATTCATCTCTGCCCCTGTATCTAAAGTAAGTTGCAGGGGAAATTGTGAGTAAAATGCCTTGAAGTGGGGAGATCTGTTGGTGGAGGTTGTCTTCTATGAAGGACATGAGGCGTTGATAAAGGTCTTCGGGGCGTTCGTCTGGTTGAAGTACAATGGTATTAAAATCTAAGAAGTGGGAGCCTGTTGATTGAAATCCATAATGCAATCGTATAACTTGCCAAATAGACGACATGGAGGTGGAGTTCTTCAAAATAGAATTGCGTGAAATGATAGGACAGTAGTTGGCAATTTGACCCAGCATCAGGTCTAAATGTGTGACTTTCTGCTGGGCAGTTCTCCTGCGTTCCTGATCTACGCGTTCTCCGTCATTAGCTAAACCTCGTAGGGGGGTTGTGGAAGACTTCTTCAGCCATGTCACACCGTCTAATAAAAAATCGGCAAAATTTGGATCAAGGGATAGAATATACTGCAAATTCTGCCGCCAAGCTTCAAACGATGTTATGGTCTCGTTTTTCGTCAAAGACCATTGTTTGGGGGCTCTAGTACTAGCCATACTTATCTGCAGGATCTGAAGAGTGAGAACAGTAGTTGTTTAACTGCTTCCCTTTCCGAGTTGTTATCTGCAGAAGTGTGTAACGCTCGAACAACCAGTCCTCGCGTTGGTAAAATCACTAACAGGTTATTTTAACAAAGTTTTTGTTGAACTTTTGAATCAGTTCTGTACTTGGTAACTGAAATCCCAGCAGCTGCCACCACGCCAGTCAGTAATCAGGCACACTTAAAGGGAAAACTCTTCAATCAATGATGTTAGATATTGTATTGTAAAGATGGCGGTTTTACAGTATGACAATAATAATACGAATGAATTTACATGCACGTGCAGGGGGAGGTAATTCAACAAGTACAGTTCGTACACATAAGAATAGTTCAGGCTAGTCTAATACGTAACTACCATGAAATGGCGGAGATGTAATTGTGTGTAAATTGTGTGTAGGGAACTTTAACCACATGAAGATACTACTCGAGAAACTCATCTGACTAATCGATCACATGCAGCAAACTTTGAATCGTCTTGCCCAGAAGGCACACATTCAGAGTGCTTTGCTTGTTTGGCATTATACATGGTTTGAGTCCAATATTTACATTCTACTTGTTTTAAACTAAGTATATTCAAGATTTATTCAGCCCAAATAACGGTTGTTTCGGAGTTTTTTCTTTCCAACAGATAGTTAGTCATCATGTCGCTTGGCTTGATATAGAAAGCCGAATAGTCCCAAATGAAATTGTGACTGATTCTAGTAGATTGATACTGATTGAAATATTGCAATTATCTGTATCAAAACAAACACTCTGGGCGACTTTCTTAGGCCCCGAAGTTGTCTCAATGGGGAACCAAACTCGCGAGTTTTCGTTCCTTGATGTAGATGGTGCGACGGCTATTGCAGTCCCGCGGTTCTAGCGACATCTGCAACAATGGCTAATCATGTAAATCAGAATAAGAAAAAACGTCAAGTAGCCTACCTCTAAAAAACACTGGCGTAATAGGCTAGGCCGAGGCTAGTGACTAGATTTACTAGTAGTAGACTATCGATGGCGGTAGTGTGATTGATCTAGGCCTTACCATTTTCCTATTTCAATATAATCCTTTCGGAGTGTGGATAACTCCTCTGATGATAATGGGCAGTTCATTTCATGTAAGATGGTAGTTCTAGGCCCTACCCTTTTCCTAGTATAATTTAATCCTTTCTCAGTTTCTGGGGTTAGAAAGTTCTTGAAAAAAATTATCTTTATTTTTTAGGCTTGACGTTTTTGACAGAAATAAAGATATTGAACATGAAGTTTTGGAAGATGAATATTCAATGGAAATTCCTAATTATGATCTCTACAGAGACATTAATACTGGTACCAAATTTACATTACTGAAGTTAGAATCTATCCTGTGTTACCTTGAACAATTTCAAAAGAAACTTGATGACGACTCAAAGAAACTTTATACCAATCATTTTCTGAAATACTTGAGAAGAGCATCTACTGACAGTTTATATTTTTTCAAATCCGAATGTCATGCCGAAATGAAGAAGAAAGTTTCGTATCACATTGACATAAGAATAGATTTAGATGGCTTTATAGCAGAATCCCAATGTGCGTGTGCTGCTGGAAATGGACGCACTGCACACTGTAAAAATGTTTGTGCATCATTATATGCGATTTTTAAATTTTCAACATGTGCTGAAATCATTACAGAATTATCTTGTAACTCACAACTACAAACTTTTCATCAAAGTAGACATTTTATGGCCAGTCCTCTTAAGTCTAAAGACCTGCCTCTGTTAGGATATAAAGACGTTAATTTTGATCTATGACCCACAAAGTATATTAAAATGGCCGGTTAAAAGGATATGTTCAGACATATGGCTAAGCCACCCAAACATAAACAAGTTTTCAATTTCACAAACCAGCTCATTAGTTCATTTAAACCAGCTAATTTTTATGCTGTCAAAGCCGACCATCATTATCTTCAAGATCCTCTTTCTGAAATCTGGCTACAAAATATTGGCTTATCAAACATAGATAATGAAAACATTTCGTTAATTGAAATGGTCAAGCATCAAATCAGCTGTGGTCACAATTAATATTAAGGTGTTACAGGATGAACTCTTTCCAATTTAGAATAATATGTAAGGCAACTGACCTTGAAAAACTTGCTTAGTCCATAACTGGACCTTCCAAAAACATACAAGCTGCTCATCTTATCCATGGACGAGTTTGTTAAACAGTTGATCAATGTGGAACATTTGTTAGTAAAGGTAGTCCGTTTCTAGCTTCCTCACCGGACGGATAGACTGATAATCATTAAGTGATTGAGGTAAAGTGTCCATATTCATGTAAAGACAAATGCATTAATACAGACACTGTGCCATATCTGAAATTTTGCGAGACAAATCAAAAGTACTATCTTTCAGAAAATCATGACTATTATTTTCAAGTTCAGGGTCAACTTCTGTGTACAGGACGCCAACTCGACCAAGACTGGCAACTAAATACTAAATACGTAAATAAAGACGATTTCAACTAATCGTGACGACTGCCGGGCCTAAGAAAGTCGCCCAGAATGTTTGTCTCGATACAAATAGTATCTCATCTTATCCGTTTGTTTGTCTTATTACAGTTCGTTTCTCAGCTTGTTTGTCTTGATACAGATAGTAATTCATTTGAAAGGTTGTCAAGATACAGATACTTCCTGATTTTTTTTTTCGACAAATATCACTTGTACTGATGTTGGTTCGTCTGCACGGGGCTTGAACTTGTATTTATACATAAATTGATTTCACGTCAACAATTTCAATGTATGGATCAACCGTTCCCGGGATACTACTCTATATGAACTGTATATTGAGTGGATAAAACTGATGAAATATATTCGATAAAAAAATATTCATATATAATGTAGATACATTAATTAAACAACGACTATTTGGACGGACATTTGTTTAAAATCCTGTTTTCTTTTACTTGTACATTAAAATAATGTTTGGCAAGTATTCTATATTCACGGCAATATGCATCTTAAATATGTACGGTACGTTTTTTTTTAGAATTATAATATGGATACACAGTCAAATGTGTTAATGGATAAATTTTTTTCCGTATTTTTTTTTTTTTAGATCGAGACAGCTTTTTCGGGTGTTTTGCTGTTAAAACAACTTTTGAGTATTATATTAGTAGACGCCTGTTGATGATATTCTATTTTGAATAAAAATATCACATTAGCAAACGAGCTGAAAAACCCATTTTTATCTGACATCAGGTATTCCAGACGAATGGACATATTCATTGAATCATGACCACGCCTAAATTTACCGAGTATCTGTCTCGTGAGTTTATCAAAAACCCTTTATTATTCCAATCTATTGTGACCCATCATTACATATACAAGAAGTTACTAAATAATGTTCTCTTGTTTCAGAAGGTGGAAGCCAGCTACAAGTTTTTAGTCCAGACAACCAATTTCACGCAGAGCCATTGTTACGATATGGATTCGAAATTTCTAACATTACCAATTTACAACTCGGTATAAAAGCTTGTGCAGATGCTCATGTGATAATACAAAAGGGCACATTGCCGATGTTAAACACAGATGGAAATTATGCATACATCATAGGATCTTATGGTAACAACCGAGTTGAATTAGCTAAATCGATGCATTCCGTTCCACGTTTAGCTTCAATATCCATGATACCCTTGGATTGTAACGAAGTGCGACCATTTTGGATCAGCTGGAAAGACGGTGATTTAAAAATTGGAAAAGGGACAGTTTTACTTGCTGATGAAATAATAGCATATTCTGTTGGGCCTCTTGTTGATTATAAATATGCCTTTATTATAACAGGATGGGGCAGTCATGGATGCTGGACCATAGGTAAGTTTATCTATCCTTTCTAACATGCTACCTTTCGACTTTCAAACCGTAAATTCCCTTTATAGGAGCCGATCAGGATACATTATTCCCTACCGAAAAACTGATCGGCCACTTTTTCCAATCTGTCTAATCTGGAGTAGATTGTCCAAGTTAAATATCGACCCTTTGTTCAATTGATCGGTCTCGAATCGATCTTTTTTTAACCTGATTAAGTTCCGACGAATGAACCATGAAATTAACGAGAATTCTTCGACAGATCGACACGATACCGGGACGCAATGGACGCATGTATGCGAAAATACCCACTGCCGATGTCTGCCGAACCTCGAGAGTTGGCGAATGGAGAAGAACTTTGACGCAGGAAGTCGCACTATGTAGATTTAACCAAAATTGTTAGCCAAATTTTGGACTAGACAAGTGGACTTTCACACGACCAAGCTTGTCATAAGCCGCGTTTAGACAAACAAAAATTATCTGGGTCCGGACAGAGTACGGTTCGGGAGAAAAAGTGGCCATGAAAACAGAATGAGAGGGCTCAGCACCGTGCTAGTGGACCGGACCGAGAACGGCACGGCAAAATATCAGTGCAGTGTAAACACGCCACTGGGCCGAGCCCAAATACCCAAGGAGAAGATCGCGTGTGCAATAATGACCTTGGCCCTATAGGGCATCTTGCGCCGCGAATATTCACTATTCTTTGTGTCTCTAAAACAAAATTAGAGATTTTTAAGAATCGTTTACCTATGTGAGGTACTTGATGACTCATCACTTCGGACCAGTGAAAACAGCGTCAGGACCAAGTACGGGTCAATTGTTATGGCAGTGTAAACGCGATTATAGTCAGACAAAAACAGTAGACGATCACTTTTTCGATCGTGATTTAATTCATCGTTATATGACGGTTTATGGAATTATTTCCTCTTTTACATTACAGCTGTTGCAAACCAAATAGTCAAAACTAAATGGAGAAAATCTTCAGTCCTCAATTCTAAAATACATGGCAGTGATGTCATATCATTTACAACTAAATCCAAAATGGAATGTTTGTCAAAATGTGTTCATGCCACAAATCTATCGTGTGCTTGTCGACAATTAAGCTTTAATGGACATACAAAAGAATGTTTAATCATAAACTACGAGAATCCAGTTACCATAGTTGATGATGAAAACTGGAACACATGGTATCTTGTATAACGTCAATGAAGTATAGGACTACCAGTATTCACAATAGTGTCATTGTGTCACCCTTTTCTGTAGAAGTACTAGAACCCTATGGCGGGGGAAAGCGGCAAAAACCTAATGCTATGCACAAATGTCTAATTCAAAACACAAATGTAATGTAATACAATAACAAATACCTAAAACGTCTTATGCAAGAGATAAAATACAAGAAATCTCTAATACAAAATACCTTATACGTATACAAAATACATATAACCTCTAATGCACAATTGCCTAACTGTGTTACTGGCCAGTCAATGACGAAGCCTATACATGGCCAATATTTGATAAATGACCAATTTTTTCCGATGGTCTTCTAAGGAATTATGAATGAATTTTTTGGTGCCAGTGTTATCCCCCTTAATTTAGGAGAAATTATTGTATCGATTAAAAAAATACACTTCGACTTTGACCTAAATAACGGTATTACAGTGAAGAAATGTAGGTAGGCCTAATGCAAACGAGATATGTCGTCTAATGCTTTTATGGTAAATGTTTCACGTTGTAAAATCAATTGTTCATTAGAGGTTATATGTATTTTGTATTAGAGGTTTCTTGTATAATGTCTTTTGCATTTAACGTATAAGGTATTTTGTATCAGAGGTTTCTTGTATTTTATCTTTTGCATGTTATTGCATTATATTACATTTGTGTTTTGATTTTGGGGAACGGAGGGTTTGATTCTCCAAAATGTACAGGCCTAGGGTGGAGCAGACACTTTATTTAGAAATTAGGATTAAGGGTCTTTATATTGGGTTTTCTTCTGTTCTTATTCTGATCTGAAATTAGAAAAATAACTCGCCCGATAGTATTTGTTATGCACTGATTGTTTTTAGTTTACTATGAACAATATTATCATTTAAGTTTTTATTTTTTGAATATGCAACTATCATTTTCTGCTTATAGACATGGGGGAATTTCTATTGAAGGCTCTTATAGTGGGCATGAACTATCTTGCTTGCTCGATTACTGGTTGTATTGAACGGGACAACAAAGGGTTAGACATTAGACATTTCTGCATAGTATTAGGTTTTTGCCGCTTCCCCCCGCCATAGAACCCAATATTAATAATAAGCAAAATCATGTACCTACTGTTATGTGTAATGTAAAGTAGTGGTATCAGTCCATACTTGACATTCTCAATTTGGTCTATTTTAACACATAGCATATATTCGATATTACTATTTTCGCCAGCAATTGGGAATTCAAACCTGTAACGACTAATTGGACATAACTAGTAACTATCAACAGGAACTGTATACAGAACCAGCTTTAACATGATTGTTTAATGCCATCGCCCCATTATGTATTAATTTAATGTTTGACACTATTAAACCAATGATCATCGCGTAACACTGAAAATATAAGCAACTCAAGGTATGTAGGCCTAAAAAATGAATGTTACAGACGAACGTCAATGTCAACAAAATAAAGATACAAGGACATTTAATTCTTGCTTTAAAGCATACTCCATTCGATTAACAAAATAATTTGTAATACAAATAACAAAAATGATATCTATTTTAGCCAAATAACAAAAGTCAATTTGGGATAAATAAACAGGAAGAGCCATAATACTAATCTCAATACAGGCCCGTGAATCTTTCCATAAATATTCCTCAGAAAATATTTACATTTGATTTATCGTGTTTCCTCAAGTCTGATTGTTACGTCTCAAAATAATCAGCTGAGACTTCAAGAAAAACAGAAAATCAGATATTTCAAAGACATAATATGTTGATGTTTTCATAATTATATAATCAAACAATCCAAGACGGTGTTCGTGTACCTATACTATTTTGATGTCCTCAGTTTATTTCCAAATATTGCAAAACAAAGGTTAACATCTCTGGTACTTATGGATTATTTAATACTATCAAATATTATTTTATAAAATACACTTTAGTTGCAGGCTGCTTCTCGGTTGTTCCTAGATGGTCTATCTGGTCAATGCGTGGGTAAATGGTCTATACAAACACTCGCTTCAACAGCATAAATATCTGCTTATGCAGATAGGATGATAAGAGTACAATTTTCTCGTAGTTTTAGCGATGTACTACTATACATCGCATTTTTCATAAAATTTTTCAATATCATTATAAAAAAGGGCCGCCAAGTTCAATATCAATTCAGAATAGCCGCCAAGTTAACTGAGAAACAAACGTGTTTTCCGCCTAGAATGTCAAGGAAAGAAAACATTTGAGTGATGTAAATATTAAAATGTATGTATTCTCACCTGGAGAATTTACTAGTTACAATATATTTCTTAAAATGACCACCGTTTCTTAAAAAGCCGCCAATCAAACTGGTTTTAAATTTCATGGAAGGGAGGGATTACATTTCTGAAATGGAACTGTTAGGTATTTTCCTATTGTTCTAATCAGAAATTAGGTCAAATAATAACTCGCTCAACAATATTTTGATTTAATGAACCTATTTTGAAGATTTATATATGGAATATATAGATTTGAGTATCGATAATTCAATTATACATTATCTTAACTGATAATTTTTAACATTATGGTTATTTATTGAAAATCACATCCAGGAGCACTCATTTAATGATGTGTACGAATTTACGAAATCTTTATTGATTACACGCTTTGTTGTTTGGGTAGGAAACAAATCTCGTGATGCACGCAACTTGTTTTCCAATTTCACAATTCCTTACAACTGCAGGAACTGTATAACTGTTCGCGTTTGAGTCTGAAGCGATGACATTCGTATCTTATTCGGCAGTCAGTTTCGCATCCACAATTTCTCAACTGCTTCGCAATTGCTTTAAATTTTGACCAGTCTTAAACGACTTTAACATATACACTTTTTAAGACATGGGTTACTTCAGGGCAGAAGTCCCTAGTTCGGGTTGCTTTCGCGACGAAAAGCGAAAAGACAACCGTTAAGGCACGGGAGAACAGCATTCTGTAGGATTTCTAGGAGCTTGAATCCAAAAGGCTCAGTCTTGTCTGAGAACTACATGTTTATCTTAGACAGAATGTTATTCATGAGTCTTGGATATCTGTCAAAGACGAGGAACTTACTAGAGAGAGAAGACACTGGGATCTAAAGATATCATGTATCTCAGGTGGATTGAAAGTCATCAAGAATAGTCCTCATCATTATTGGCAGAGAAGAAATGTATGCTTGACAATATAGATACAAGTCTCTTCTTTGGAAGATCTGACCAATTAGAAAACTACCAATTTCATTGAAAACAAAGCTCCAAGAATTTACACTGCGAACTCTTGTTTAGGGTTTTTGTCACACCATCTTGAACTATTTAGTTCTCCTGGCCAGGATACATGCATTTTGATATTAACATCACTCAAATATTTGTTTCCTTCATATTCTATGCGGAAAACAGCTTGTTTCACCTGAAACTTGGCGGCCATCTTGAAAAATGGCGGCCATTCTGAAATTATATTGAAGCTATTTAGTTCTCCTGGTTAGAATACACATCAAATCACTCGTTTCAAAGTTCGTTTCCTTGACATTCTCGCCGGAAAATAGCTTGCTTCATCTTGAAAAAATGTCGGCCAATTTCCTGAAAGAGTAGATCCTGAGGAACTTCTGAACCAAATTTGGTCACCAATTCAAAGATTCTTATGGAATATTGATCTAATCTGCCCCACTATTGTATTTCCTTATTATCACAAACATCGTATATGAACATAAAGATCGTCGAACAGTAGTTTTCATGTTGTTATATTATAGTCTATTATATGATTGTAAATATCTGAAAATTTCTAACTGGTCTCGTCAACTCGGCGATGAGTTTTGGATTAATATAAGAGGTTTATTGAGTTACTTGTCTTATGTTGTTCGGTGGCGGACGTGACCTCAGTGTACAGCAGGCCGTAACAATTCGAATTCGATCAATGTTCTCCAGTCTGTTGAGAAGAAACCTCCATCGTGCCTTGATTCGCAAGACAGTGTTACCGATTGTCATTCGTGCTTTACTCATCCTGTAGTTGAAACGCGTTTCTGCAGCTGTCAGGTTCGCTCTGTGAAAGAACGGATTCATGAGCCAGGGTAACAGTAGATAAGCAGGATCACCAATCAGTGCCAATGAAATTTTGCACCGTTAACACTTGCATTGTTGCCCCAAGTTGGTAAACGGTCGAATTTGACAACATCCTGACTTCATGGTATTAATTGGTGCCATCTTTGCCCCGATTTCCCTTGCCACTAAATCTGCGTATGAAATAATCCTAAATTTAATCCATGTCCTTTGTTTCTAACCTCTACAAACGCATGTTTCATAATTGAAGATCCCACAATCCAAACTAATCTTCTGGTTTCCTTTCCTGAAAACAAATTATTAGTTAAATTTCATAGCAAGGATTCTTATGTAATATTTAACCTGATTTCCAAACTTGATGTTTTGCAATGTGTTTCCGGTTGTACTGGGTTCGTTATACCTCCCGAATCAGAAGAGTTCTCTACTCGATTAACTTGATCGCGTATTAAAGGAATACGTCACAATGATTGTAACAAGGTTGTGGATAATTGGATTTAATCCAACGGAGTTTTATCGTTCAAAAGCTAATTCAGGGGAATATACAGTGTCCAGACCAGTATACACTCAAGTTTCAACACCTTAACATATAGAGTCTACCTTCACCATAGGCTGCACTAACAGCGTATTAAAGGTACGAATTGATCCTTTCTTTCGTTTTTGCGATATCAGCATCCGCTGGAAGCGAACGTTAATTTGTCATATACCTACCGTTTCTTTCGTTATATTTATTGTTTTTTTATTCAAGTGGGATTATCTATGGACTATGATCAGGTTTGAAAAACAAAAACGCTTTATCAAATATAATTTGTTTTATTATATAATTTACAGAAGTTGGCGAATTTTGGCCGCGGCTAGGTTTAATCTACTTTGATCGACGCCCTTAATTTAAAGGTATATTGTCGACCAAAAAAATCGAAATCGTCAATGTTATGAACCCTGTTTTGTTTCAGCT